AACAAGAAGTCCAAGAGCACTTCTTTCAGGGGAATAGAACAAATTTCTTAGACAGCTTTGGCCACCCTTATTTGCCACAAGGAAGGAAAGGACACCCAGAGCTGCCAGTGTCTTGCTTAGGTAGCAGCTGAGCTTTCTTGCCTCCTTCCTCCTCTGGGATAACTGCAGCTCTTTTAAGGAGTAAAGACTCAAAGTTGATTTAGCTAATAACTATAAAAGAATACTGCATGAGAGCATGCAGTTTAACCAGCATGGTTTAACTGTGTCCCACCAAAGGGTATTGTTGGTGTGTTTGCTGTGGGCCTGTGGATGCCCTCCAGGTGAGGGGCTTTCTCATGGATCTGAGAGTGGTTTCAAGGTACCTTTTGCTCTGCTGGTTTATGGCTTCTCACTTGCTAGAGAAGCCTCTAGTAGTCTCACTGTGGACTTTGAAAAGTATGTGCAATTGTAAAAGAAGATCCCCCAGACATAGTATTTCCATTAAAATCAGCTCAGTGTCTGTGTGCCTGACTGGCCTGAGCTGGTCTTGCCATAAAAGACTTCACAGACAGCGTGGGTTTTTTGGGGTGTCTACTTCTGCTGGTGCCACCTGTAGTTGTCCATTTGAAGCAGCTTAGTGTTATTTGTGATGTTGCTTCCATGTGCACACGGTCATGTGGGCTTGCTGGAAGAGATGTAGTGGGTCATAGGTGGCTTTGTCCATGCTGCATGTCTCATCCCCAGCAGCAGAAAAGCTCCTATGCTGCACATTCATTCCCCTTGCTGAAGCTTTCTGCTGGGGAGGGGCTGGGACACCAGCGAGGGACACACCATCCCAGCAGCACTCAGACTGGGTCCATCTGGAGTGTTCTTACTCAGGGATCTTTGCTCATGAACTGGATAAGCCTTGCTAATACCATGAGGGTCCATCATGCCCCTCATGTCCTGTCGCTGAGTTTGTCTTGGCTTTAGCTGTGCGTTTTGTATTTGTCAGTATCAAACATTTACTGCATGTGCCTGTGCCCAGCTCTGGAGATGGGGCCTGGATTCTGTGTTAATTATGGTGGGTTTGTCCAGTTCATTGCTTAAAAACGTGGCATTTCAGAGGCAGGAAAAAAATCCCTCTCTGACAAACTGTCTACTTGATGCTGGCTCATGACTTAGCATGGGGATTCACACCTATGAGTTGGCCATTTTTTTGCTGTGGTTATTATGTGCTATATTACCTTTTGCATTATTCTGGTTCTGAGAATAATACAGCAGCCTGTATCAGCAAGTTACTGTGAACAGAAACCAGATCTGTTTTCTGGGAACCCTTCTTGATTAGCAGAAATAAACTGTTTAAGGGAGGGGAACTGAATTAATCCGCACCCACCTGGGCTCTAGGTCATGGTGCCTTGCCTCCAGCATTGTCCTGTTTACTCTTGCAAAACACTGGCATCATAGTTTTCTTTCGGGTGAGTCCCTGTGCAGCTGGAGCGAGGGCAGGATGCATGGCTGCTGTCTGTGCCAGGGCCGATGCCCTCGATCAGTCCTCAATCAGTCCTGAAACGTGCATTTTAGGAGCAAAGGAAGTAGATGTAAAGGATACTTCAATGTCGGGTTCGGAGCAAAGCAAACTAATGTGACAAATGAGCAGTTTGCTAAGCTACTGTAATGATTTCATTAACACAGGCCAGTTCACGGGCACTCTGTCAAAGTAAATGGATTTATTTTTGACTGTTTTGCCTGCCTGCAGCAAGCCTTGGGCAGCATTCAAAAGGCTGTCCGGGTGCCCTCTGCTTTGGTGCGCTCAGCCCCTCACTCCCTGGCCTGGCTGTGGGATCACCTCTGGGGTAGCACTGCCGGGACCCAGGCTCAGGCTCCATAGGAACAAGGCAGCTACAGGATGTGGTGGATGCTGGGTGCAAGGCAGCAGGGCTTGGCTTGTGCAGTGGAGCACAGGGGACAGGCATGGGGGAGTTAAAGCCCTTAGCCTGACTCTGCTAAAAGCCCATGTTGCATGGTTTGTGTGCACAGGCTGCCCCAGTTCCCTGGGGTTTACCACACGTTTTCATCATGCTTGCAAAATGCTCTTATCACACATTGCAACAACCAGCCTCATCCTCATCTGATCAGAGCAAAACCAGCACAGCTCTGCATGTCTCCAGCATGTCCGGTCTGCTGTGTGCGCCTGTGGGGCACACGGTCATTGCTCAGAGACTTTAGTTTGCTGCTTTGGGATTGCTTTTTCCCTACTGCAGACTCCTTGGCCTGTGGAGGCAGTTGGTAACCACTGCAGCCAGGGTCCTTGCTGCTTTAGCTACTGGCCATGACATGAGTCTTTGCTGAGGGATGATGTGACCTGTCTCTATGCAGATGGGCTGCAGTAAGGCTGCAGGTGCTGGGGAGCCTATGCTGGTAATGCCCCCTATGCTGAGCAGAGGCATAGCTGGAGCTGACTGTGGGGCCTCTCCTCATCCCAGCCTCTCCTCTCCCTCTCTCACCAGGCCATCAGCACCCCTTTGGGGTCACCTCGTTCCTCTGGGGCGAGGTGAGTGGGGCACCCCCTATCTCCCCACTGCCAGTGCCCCTGTTTCACCCTGATAGCTCCTCCTACCCCAATAGCATTTTGTGTCCCAATAGCTCCTTCTGACCCAGCCCTTGTCTCTGGATGGGCCACTGATGCGGATGAATAAGCGGGTCTGGCAGGGAGGGAGTCTGGGAGGCTCTGAGTCTTCCTCAAGAGCAAAGCTGGTGGTTATACTAATGTATTTAACAATTATTGCATGTCCTGGAGGCTGTTTAACCTGCGCAGAGGACACAAGCTGGAGGCACCATGTGGTTTACCAGCACCAGTCCCTATGACAGACCACTCTGGTGTGCAGCTGGGATGGAGCATGGCACCTGCAAAGCACTGGGGAGCACTGCAGGTTGCTTTCACTAGAGCTTACCACTCAGGCTGGGCTAGAAGTGAGCCAAGCCGGACCTCACCTCTTCCAGCACCTGCAGCTGCCTGGGTTTGCTGCTGGTGGATGGGATGGGGCTGAGGAGAGGAAAGCCCAGGTTACATGCACAAGAAATGATGGAAATGAATCTGGTGAGGGCTGGCGTGGGGCTGTCAGCCCTGCGGGGATGCAGAGACACAGCTCCCTGCCTTCAAATGCCGTGTCATACGTCGGGATCATACGGTGCATCTTACACCAGTAATCAAGTGACTCAGAATCAGGACGTGAAAGTGCTTTGGCAACGCCAAAAGCAAAATGTAATGAAAAATATTCCCCTTCCTCTTACTCCATAAAAGTTCAGTATTGAGCAGCTGATCTGAGATTTTTTGAAGTGCTAAAGGCTGCCTGTAGGACACAAGTGTTTTACAGTGGGCACAGGGATCTTCTGCTTCTAAAATGGATGAAACACTTCACAGGGCAGTCTTTAGGCTTTCCGGACAGGAGATAACAGCAGAAACTTGATACTGTTGGGGGCTGGCTGTAGGAAATGCAATTGTTAATGGCTGGTCTTGATGTTCTGCTGCGCTTTGAACTTAGAAGTATGTGTTTTATCATGAGGGATGATGGGAAGCTGAGCTTTAAAGGCTTGTGTTGCTGTAGCAGGAGGCAATGCAGGTGAATGTCCAGCTTGGTTCCAGCCCAGGTTGTGTTTATGGGCACAGGCTGGGGTGGTCCCAGCCTCTCTCAATCCTCTTCCTTTTTGCAGGCTCAAAGACCATCTTACCCAGCTGCAGGGAGTTAATTATCCAAAGGCCTCTAGAGCTGTGCCTGAGTGCCTTTGGCTCTACCCATGCAGGCATGGCAGGTTGGTGTTTCTGCTTTATCCTGCAGGATGGAGCCCACCCGGGTCTGCATTGCAAGCCGCAGCAGGAAGCTTTCTGGGGCGCTGGTCTCGGCAAAGCCAGACTTCACCCTCCGTCCTGAGCGGAGTTTGCAGGCTGAGGTGTCTGAGCCTCTTGAAGAGGTGTGTGGATACCCACCCGCACAGAGCAGCGCCCTGATGCAGTTAAGTCTAATTGAACATGACCTAACCAACGAGGCTCCTGTTTCCGCGCGCTTCCCATCTAGGTCAGCTCACTTCTCGGCCACACCAGAGAACAACTGGAGCGCTGTGTTGGGTGTCGCGGCGCCAGCCGGGGCCGCTCGGTGGTGGCAGTGCCAGGATGCCGGACGCGGGCGGGAGCGGCGCCTGGGGCTTCCCGGCAGCACGGCTTCCTGCAGGATGCGGCCGCCATCCCTGCCTCCATCCCTGCCTCCATCCCACCGGCAGGGCTCGGCGTGGTGCGGGCAGCGGCTCCCCGCGGTGGCTGCGGGGGTGCATCTGTGTGAGAGCAGGAGCCAGCGCCCGCAGCCGGCCCTGCCCAGGCAGGCATGTGAGACAACCTGTGTACACATACACACATCGCTTATATAGACACACATGCGTAGACACGCGTATGTGTATAAATGCATCTATATATTGTGTGCATACGTATGTGAAATCTATACATACATATGTAACATAAATATACATAGGTGTGTATATGCATACATACGTGCATAGGAATTACATACATATGAATACATACACATATATACATAAATGTATATATTTATGTAGATTATATATACATATATACATATGTATTGCTACACACGTGCATTTATGTATATAAATTATACATATATACACTGTATACATACACATGTACATATACATATGTAAATATTAAGATAAATTATACATATGCACACGCATGTATATATCTAAATTTGGTCATGCATATACACACGTATACACACATTTACGTACATATATGTGTATATATATACACGTGTTTATGTATATAAATTATACATGTATGCATATATGTATATGTGTACATAAATTAAATACATATGCATGAATATCATGAATATATATATCAACACATGCACGTGTATCTATGCACATACATGCGTGTCTCTATATGTGATGTAAATACCGCACTTAACACCGTCAGGTTACACGGGCCGGTGTATGTGTGTAACTACCCATATACCCCGGCAGGTGTCGCTGTGCGCTGCTCCTGGGAAGCGCCGCTTGGGCTGGGGCTGGAGGGGGAGCTTCTGCTTTGAGCTGGGGTCCTTGGAAGAGTCGCGCTTGCATGGTTGCGGTAGGACAGACACCTCGCACAATAGAAAAGGCCTGAGAACAGATGGAAGATACGGGTGTTTAATACATCAGTCTCAATTTACATCAGTCTATTCTCAGCCCTAAAGACCCTACCCTTTTTACTTAGGTCACTCCATGGTGAAATCTATGTTTGCTGAAGAGGTAATGGGATGGGCATGATGCCAGGTCAAGTATGGCTTTGAAAAGATTGATACTTAAAAATCTGGTGTGATTCAGCTTTAAAGTATGTCCTGAGGAAATGGGAAGAAAATGCCTTCTGGAGAAGTACACAGTTTTCACATTAATTTATCTCTTTTAGAAACGAGTTTTCACACAAACACATCTTGCATCCTATTAGAGTTGCTCTGCGTATGTTTTCACACCAGATAATATCCTAATAGCTTGTCAAATTGAAGCCATTTGGGAAATTTTTGCCGTGCCTGGTAGGAGTGAGTGGCTAAAGCAGAGGTTGTCCTGGCTTGGACTGGAACCCACACACAGGCTGATGCAGAGTGGCACTAGGCTGGAGCAACCTGGTGTGGTGGGCTTGGGCATGGGCACACAGCCCGCAGTGCAGAGCACCCCTTGCTTGCCTCCTCCCAGACTGGAGTTCTGGGCCCACTGAGGCAGAACACCTGTATCTGTGTCTGAATGGGTCTCAAGGTGGTGGTTTAGGTTGGTTTGGTGAGTAGCTGCAGGGTGACCCGGCTGATGCTTTGCAGGAAAATGGAAATAAATGCTTGGGTTTGATCCCATTCAAACTGAAACAAACAGAAAGAACCCCAACCCCACAGAGCACAACACAGCAGCCGTGGATTTATGCTTCCTGCTGATTTCACAGCACTGTGCGAGCATGGAGATACTGAAGGGGAAAAGCTGCTTCAGCTCTTTGAAGCAAAGGGGCTGCACTGATGTGCAGGGCCACGGCATCGCTCCTGTTAGCAAACCCTCTCAGTCACTACAGCTAACACTGCTCCTGAGAAAGGGCTAATCTTTACATGCCTCGGCTGTTCCCAACACATCCTGGTTCACAAGTTCAGCAGCTTCAGAGTTGCATCTGATCATTAACTCTGAAAGACCAGAGATTACTGGGGTTTTTAAACTGCGTGTTTGGGATGGCTGAGAGGCACAAAGTTCAGGCACAAATCTGTGTCCAAACGCAGGGACAATCTTCCCAAAGTTCAAGAGGCAGAGGGAGGGTTTCAGCTCAGCTGCGCAGTGCCTGAGCTTTGTGTAAGCTTGGTCTTCATGTCTTCTTAAAGCTGCTCTCATGCAGCTGTTTCAAAAGTGGCCATGAATTTTGGGTGCTTCTGGACTCGTGGTCTGTGGTGAGCATGGCTGGGCTTGTAGCTCCTTTGGACTTCAACCAGAGGGATGAGACAGTCCAAGGAAAAGCCCTGCAAGTTACAACTCCTATATGCCAAAGACTAATAGAAAATTACTCTCTTATTGTGCATTTCTCTGTCACTTTTGTGCCTGATGTGTACAAAATAAAACGCTGTTTGTGACCATGCTGTGCACAAAACCAGAAGACAGAACCTCTGAGTTTTCTTTTCAGTTTTATTTCCATGAGATGGCTTTTGGTATTAGAAAGCCATCCATGGGGAAACAGGTTGGAAGATGCCTCTGCAGGCCATTTGTCCCCCCCTCTTGTGCAGCTGCTCAGTGGCAAAAAGCCCCTTAAGCCTAAACAGTGTGAACCGTGGCACTTTGATAGTGATTTCGGAAGGATCTGAACAAGCACTGAGGGGCAGAGACATTGGTATTCTCCTTGATGGGATTTAATCTTAATGCAGCTCATTAGCCTTCAGGGTGGAAGTCCTGAACCTGATGGTGCCAAAGGATTAATTTAAATCTAAATTCCTTAGGTATAGCCTCAAAGAACTGGAGGTGAAGGTCATGTAAGTGAAGGAGGCCCATGAATACAGCCCCTCTGTAGAGGTCCAGCCCTGCATGCTCCCAGGGCAAAGCTGGTAAAGGGATGAACCATTTGAGCCCTGCTGGTGCTGATGCTCCTGGGAGGGTCAGCTTGAGGCAGTGTGGAGCCCACATTTCATCATTCAGGAGAAACTACCAATGCCCCAGTGTCAAGCACGAGCTGAGGCTGTTGCTGGTTATGGGTTTTACCTGTTTATATTGCTGCTACCCAATAGATGCAGATCATCAAGTAAGGTTGGAGTATGCAGCAAGATGCTCTGTTCAGAGCAGGCTGAGACCACTACCTACTGATGGACACGCAAGTTGAGCTGGTCGCGGGCAAGCAGCACCATTTGGTGAGTCAGAGATAATCCCATTTGCAAACCAAGGCACCATCTCCCTCATGCTCTGCCCTGTGATGGGGATGCCAGACGTCAGCCCCGCAACAGCAGCAGGCTGCCAGCCAGCCCTGAGAGCACAGGAGTGTGGTGGCCAGGCTCCCAGCACACCAGATACAAAGCACGAGAGTGTAGCTGCTTTCATCTTCTGTCTTTTGTCTCCTAAAATTGCCCCATGTTGCCTGAGCAGGCTGGCATGTTTCAGCACTGAAAACCAGATGTTGCCAAATCTCCAGTGGTTGTTCTTGGTGCTTTTTGTTGTTACTTTAAGAGAAGTATGTGTGTCATGCCTCTTGCAAAAACAGAGGATTTACACCTTTAACAGGGGTCAGCTCTGTTTTCAGCTGCCTTGCCCTCCGCAGAGATGTCTGTCTATCTATCTAGCTCAGAAATGTTGCTGTCAGATTTCTGTAAGCATGAATTCAACAGCACCCTCCATAGCAACACACAGTCCTCTCCCAGCCACTTGCTACCTGCTCAGTTTGTGCCTGCAAAAGTATTTGCCTGGGTATGTGTGCCAGTAATATGACTTCTTTTTTCCATCTGCAGTTTTAGACGTTAAGCCCAGAGTTTCATCACCAGCTCTGTGCCTCCCACCTGGCTGCAAGTACTGCAGTGTATATATATAGAGAGAGATAGAGATGATTGATAGATAGATAGATAGATAGATAGATAGACAGACAGATGTATATATAAAAATACACATATATGAGTATATATATAAGTACACACATTATATTCATATGTATATTATTTATATATGTACACATATAGGTGTATATAAACATTGTATATTTCTGTATATACAGACATATACCTATACATATGTAACGTGTCCATATACCTGTATGTATGGACATGGTGGAGGGACCAGCACCAATGGGTTAACTCCATGGGAAAGTAACATACATGTAAGAAATGTGGAGGGCATTAAAAAATGTGCACAGCATTAAAAATCAGCTAATAGAGCACTATAGGAAACATGTATTAGGTAACCTGTGCTGTCACCCCACAGTGGCCAAATGAAGGCCTCTCACAGAGTCTCCAAGATACCCAAAGCACCAGTGCTGACCCGCACAGACCAAGGCTTGCCAAGGGCTGCTGCCAGAGCTGCTGCTTAGATTGGCTCCAGTTTTACTGAGCATGGCTCATAGTCGAATGCCCCATCACCCAGCTTCAAACCAGGAAAAATAAGCAAAATTCTTCTAGCAGTTTTCTTAGCATTTTTTGTTTTTGTCCTTAGTGGAAGAGTCAAGTGTCACATTAATAACAGTCTTCTCAGAAACCAAGGAAAACAGTGCAGAGAGAAGGGTGGGGTTTTCGTGACAGCTTAGTTTTTGTGGGACACTCACTGGAACTGAAATTGCTTAATGAATTGTAAGCACAAAAACCAGTAGGAAAAGAGCTCGCTACATCTTTGCACACATGAGGTATTGGGCTGCCTTTTAACCTTATTTTAATTGACCCAGGGAAAAGTGACAGCTACCTTTGAGAGAGTGACCAGGTATGTATGTATTGCTGTATACTGGGGCACTTGGACCTGGGAGACTGTGGAACAGTCAAGGCTGTAAGGTGGGAACTACACCATATTCCCTTGATTTGGCAGGGCAAACACAGTAACTACAGCAATGTGGAGCTCTGCAGCATGTCACCCAAGCACCATGCTGAAGGTGCAGTGGCTTCTGAGTGCTTTCACATAAGCATTAATGCAAATGCAGCTTTATGTTGAATCAGAGGTACAGGAAATCACATTCCATTGCAAGGGCCCTGTGTTAACCATTGCTATTGAACTCCTAAAAGAACAAGCACTGGCAATATAAGAGCTTTGGCCCACTGCCTGGGTTGCCTGCTCTGCACTGGGGGAGCTTCCCTTTGTGTGTGTGTGCCTGAGTGTTTGCATATGTATATATATTCACATATATGTATACAGACACCTTACATATATGTGCATGTATGTATACACATATATGTATACATAGACATAAATGCATATATGTATATGTATATATGGGTTTAGAGACATAGATGTACTTAAACACATGTGTATGTGTATATACACCTATGTGCAGGTGTATATATATAAAGAATCATAGAATCATAGAATCACAGAGTATGTATATACACATATATATACATGATTCTATATACACATACATATATATGTATACATAGATACATTATATATGTACATATAGTTACATACATACACATATATGAATATATAGACATTATACATGTGCATATATACACATGTATGTGTATAGAGAGCTGTATAACATGTCTATATACATATATGCATATGTTATACATACATATATAGCAAGGTTATATATACTTATATTGCATATGTTACATATTGTTCATATATGTATATATAATGTTATGTATGTTATAGAACTATCTTTGTTGTTGAGATCAAACCATCCCTAAGGAGCCTCGGGGGACATAAGTGGTTTGCAGTCCTGTGTGCATCTGTGGGGGTTTTCATCCTGTTCTTCAGCCCCGTCACTTTTGGCAGAAGGGTTGTGGTTGCTTCTATTCCCGTCTTCACACAGCCATACCCTATATAGACACCTCCCATTCAAGCTCCCAAAAGCCTTCCATGTACTTATGACATCCATTAATTTAAATAGAAAAAGCTGCTGCACCCCAGCAACACTGCAGTACTTGAAGGTGCACCCGAGGCTCGAGCACAGCCTCTGCAGCAGGGCTGCTCTCAGTGCTGGGAGGCATCAGGCACTTTGTGGCCAATTTGTAGGTATATCTTTTGTTTCGGTTTTTACTTTTTCTTTCTATCTGTGCATGACTTTATTGGATAAGCTCTCAGGGGTCAGAAGCACTTGTACTACACATGCCTATTGATTTCCAAAAGGGAAGTGACTGATGGATCGCTGCAGGTCCAGCTCTAGAAGACACCAAGTGCTGCTTGACCCAGTGTTCTCCGCACGCCTGCAGGCAGTGACTCCCCCAGCAAAGCAAGGGCAGCAGAGACAAAGATGGATGTCTCATCTCGCCTGTATTGCACAACAGAAACAGGCTTTCATGAAAAACAGAGTGCAGACCAAGACAGACAAGGCAACAGTCATTTCCAAAGGTCACACATACTGTTTCTTTATGGCAAGTTTGCCTTCTATGACTGACAAAAGCAGGACCGATCAAGTGTCTTCCAACAGACCTGGATTAAAAATGAAGTCATGTTACTTGGAGAACTGACAGTCCCACCAGAAATAATAGAAGCTGATGACAGTTCTGGCTTCTTGATAAAAAGCATCTTCCCACATTGTCAAAATTGCTTCTCTGGTATGGGCATAAAATAAGGCATTATTTGAATGGAAATGTTAATGGCGAAGAGATACAAATCATACTGGTCTGTTGTAAAAATACACTGTAGCTGAAAAATGTGTCCTTGTTTCTCATATGTATGAAAATATATGAGTTTGTATAAACAAGATTTGCATATCTATTCATATCTCTATATGTATAACTGTACGCATGTGTTGTACATGTCAGTAGCTAAAAATACTTGGTAATTGGTCCTTCCTCTAAGAGCGAATGGCTGGTGCGATGCACCGAAGGCTGTTGTGCAGGATTTGACTATCTTTCCATACATAAAGGTTGTAACATAGCAACCATTGTTTTCTGCTCACAAGACACTATTTCTAAGCTAATTGTCACTACCTTTATTAGTTGCTGCCGTTATGGCTCCTGAGCTGGATGAGGAGCAAAGCAGCTTTGATCAACCATAGTTTTGATGAAGCTGGCCATAGAGAAGAGGCATTGCAAACAAGGTCTTACCCTCTGATGGCATTTCAGATGGCCTCGCTGAGATGGCAAGCTGTGCCTGGGCATGAAAGAGCCCACAGCCTGAGGACATGCTGCAAACCCTGAGCTGCAGGCAGTCAGCTCTTGTACTATGCTGTGTATATATAAATATACACATGCAAACCTATATATAGACACACAATCCCTGTGTGCACATTGGGATGAAGAATTCCAGCTCTCAGTATTCAAAACAACTTTCTTTCTTTGCTTAAAGGACCAAAGAGTTTGACTCCAAGGGACTGTATCTGTAGCATCCAGCTGCTGAGTCTGGATAATCACCACTATCACAGCACTGCTGCTGGAAAATGGGGGTGTCCTCACAGGAGCTGACACCAACAGGAATACCATGAGAGTATCCTGTGGTTGCTGCTGTGAGCGAGGAGAAGGAAGGGAGTCAAACACAACAGGTACCAACCAAACGATGTCCCTTCAGCAGGCACCATCCCTGGAGAGGCACCGGCTGGCAGGTTGGGGATGGGATGGGGATTGGTCTGTGGCTGCAAAGGCCAGCACAGTCCCACATCCATGGCCAGGCAGGTGTCTGAACAGGGCATTGTGGCACCACTGACCCCACCGCTGGGCTGGTGGCTGGTGGAGCTGTTGGGTGCAATGCCAAGAAAGGGTTATATAAATGTAAAAGCATTTTATATAAGCCTGTTTTATCTGCACATCACTTATATTTAGAACACCTATTTCTACTGGAAACACTAAAACCGTGTTACATAAGAGCTCATTTAAGTCCTTTGGCTTAAGGTTTGGGCAGGGGGAGGGGTTGGTTCAGGCATGGTGCATTCAGGCTGTGTCTTACAATCAGAGCCTCTACAGGCAGCCAAAAGGAGTCTTGAAATCCTTTTTGCTTTCGCTCCACACTGCCCTGACAATAGCAGAATACTGCACCTGGGGGAAGTTTCCCTCTTCCTCAGTGCTGCCTTCGTACTCAGAAACGTTCATTGGTAATGCTGCGGATGTGTTGCCAACATAGCAGAGGCAGCAGCTCACACTGCCTGGCCAGCATCCCGACATCCGGGCTGCAATAGCAGGCAGGAACACCGCTGACATCACCCGAGCGACTCCGGCGTGTTCTCAGGAATTGAAAACCCCACTGACTGGAACTGACTATTTAGCAATATAAAATGACTTATGTTGGCATTTGTGCAATAGCGTTTTCTAAGGAATTAATGATTCCCCAAGCCCACCTCTGAGTGAAAAGCAGGAAGGATGGTGACGATGGCCATAAAATACATGTACAACTGCACTGGAGGCAGCTGAGTCACTCTGGATGCATGGCCACCTCGGGCCAGCTCTGCTTTGGCTGTGAAAAAGTTTGTTTCCTGTCACATGCCAGAACAAACCGCTTTGGGTTGTGATAAGACTGCGCTGCAATGTGTTGTTGGGCAGCACATGGGCTCTGTATGTTACAGCTTCATCAGGGCTTTACAGCAGGGCTCCTGGGGGAAGGCAGTCTCTGCCTGCACAGAGGTACTGTGGTGGCCACTGCCAGCAATGTGTGGTGGGCTCCAGCACTGCCATGGCAAACAAGTCCTTAAGCAGTGGCTGGATGCTGGTCCCACCTCAGCTTCCCAGCCCTAGAAACTCCAAAAGAGAGCAGTGGAAGATCCCACCTCACAGTGATGATGCCATCCCTGACACCTCTTCACTGGCCCAGGTCAGGAATGCTACCTCTGCCATAGGGCGCTGCTCCCCAGCACACGTTGCTCTCCCAAAGGCGCAGCACTGAGCTCTCATCTGAGCTTCAATCACTATCACTGCTGCAA